CACAGCGTCCCTCACCGTGCAAGTTTTCAAATGATATTGCGCAGCCGCACAACTCTTACTGAAAGCGCTCATGGGAAACGTAGGCATAGCCTCAAAGAAGAAGAAACGTAGGCATTCAAAAGTTATTCACGTTCAACCACTCATAGTATTTCGGCTAGTACGGCTGTTATTACACAAATACAAGATTGAAAATTTAAAAAGTGAAAAAATAGAAAATGAGAAAGGAGCTATAAGCTCATCTGCCAGTGCAGCAACAATTTGGTTACATGATGCAATGTATATGTTATTTAAAAATGATTTAATTAAATCAAATCCATTTTTGAAACTTTTATGTCAACATTTTAAACTGCATTTGCTTTCCAAAAACAACACACAATTCTGTTGAATACTTATGACATACTCTTATTTGTGTTAGACTTTATAGAGAAAGTTTTGATTACAGTTTCAATAGGACATAAACCCAGTTGGTTAGAGTATATAATCAGAGTGTACTTTACAGTTCACCTGATAGTACATAGTGATAATTAACTATATTTTACTGCTTTATCTTAACTTAGAAATGTGAACATTAAACAAATGTACTTATTTGGAACTGACAAGTGACACATAAAAGAAAGACATAAAACCTAAAGAGAACAAAAAACACCTTTAAACTGTCTTTTTTTTAATTTGGTAATGTGATTTTAAATGTTGATTCATTTTATTCATAGAATAAATTTGAGATCCCCAAGTTATATCAAAATCTGGTTGACTAAAATCTAATATAACCAATAAAGAACTAAAAAAACAGTGTGTGATACAGTACCAGAGCTGAGAGATCAGTTCAAGAAATTGGGTTTATTTTTCAAAAGTTCAAAGCCCTGTTTTTGGTGTGGTGTTACCACTGTATAGCTCAAAATGTTCACAAAGACAATGTGGCAACTACCATATTTCACATTTCTGGTTGCTGTTTTTACATGCACTCAAAGTTTTGATCTACTTATAAGAGTCATTTTATTCGTTTATCTTTCTATTTCCATTTAGAACAATCACAATCCGCCGGAACTGTTGAGTAGGCACAGTAGAAAAAGTTTTCCCTTTCTCATTAGCAATAGTCTGCTTGAATAGAATTCCTTTAAAAACCCTGTTTTTGCCTCTGGCATAATCACAAAGGAAAATGAAATACAATTCCTGGGTGATAAACACCAGCAGACAGGAAACATGACTCCTGGAGACAGTTTGGATCCCCAGACAGTTTGGATCCCCCCTTTTATTTCAGCTTCTTTAAAACAGATTCTGGATGGGACATTTGCTGCTCCACTCACCATCCTCAGCTGACCCTCTGCGAGTTTTATGGTTACTGGGGACTGGAAAATAGGAGGTTTTCCTTAGAAGGGTAAATCAGAATAGATAAGATAGAGAGAAGATGATGGTGTGTTGTCACATATAAGATAAGATATGCTTTATATAAAAGAAAAAACGTGCTGCACGGCAATGACTGACATTTCTGTTGCATCAAAATAAAGCCATAAAGTTTCTCAGTTTTAAAATTCTTCATCGTTGTCCATAACTTACTCATTTTCATGTTAACAGGTGTTACTAAGTAACAAGATGCTTCAGATGAGAATTTGAGTAAAAAGTTGAAACACATAGAAAACAGGCAAAAACTAAACTTCAGGTCAACAGCGACAGGTGCTGCACCAATAAAACCCACAAACTGTTTTAAGTTTTTCATTTCAATCTTGTAAAGTTGGCTTAATTTGTCAGGTTTTTATTTAAATTATTATGACCTTCACCTTTTAGCGTGACATGACATATTTTTTCAATTCTGAAAATGAAAGTAAATAGAAATGTGTTAGAAGCTGTAAATCCCTCACGTGTTTGCAGCAATAAATGTTATCTTATTCTAAGGAACAATCAAACTCAAAATCAGAGTAACAACGCACATGTTACGACAAGATTCCTGTATAAATATTTCTTGATAAATAGCAGCTCCTCATTTTCTTCTGTGACTTTTTGACACATCAAGGTACTTGTACCAGAATCTACATCCTGTTATGTGCATTGAGTTCAGCTTTTATTTTCAAAATTAGATTTTGATTTCTGACTTATGAACTTTCTCTGCAGTGTAAACAATGAGACACACTTCAGTTCTGCTTCTGCTGCTTCTCCTGGTGGCAGCCTGGGCTTATGAATACAGTACGAATCATGTGCCTTAATCTGTAAATTAAATGTTTTACTTTTGATTCACTCGATATCAAAATAGTAAACTGCGAGGCTACAATCTTAGTTGCTCAACTGAGTTTCTCATTTATTTAGTGGCAAGAATAAAAAAACAGATTGGAATTTTAAGAAGATTTTTTTTTCCACTCAGGGGCTTTCCAGAACATTTAAAATTTAACACAGAACAAAGAAATGTATATTTATTGATAAAAATTGAGAACATTATACTTGATAACAACGGCAACAATAATCCCAGGTGCTTGTCAGTCCTCCTCATAATGCAACGCAACATATTTTCTACTTCATCATTTTTTTTCTTAACAGTACCAATTATTATTTTTATAACAGGTGTGCTGTGATCGGAGTCATCTCTCCAGGTTTTACACAAAATTTTCAGTGCAATGGAATGGATGGTCAATACATTAACATTGTGATACCTGGAAGAAATGAGTATCTCCTCTTGTGTGAAGTTGAAGTCTACGCATCAAGACTAGATTAACTAAATAGATCTGCCGCTCCTTTAAATGTTGATATCTGTGAAGAAAAACATACTGACTAGATCACAATACTCAGAAACAGCTGCAAATCCTCTGACTAGAACCTGATCCAATCATTTTATGTTGCTGTACTGCTGCTTTTATGAAAATACTTATTGAAAATCCAAAAAATAAAAAGCAGAAAACAATAATTTTGTTAATTAGTTTACGTGTGTCTTTTGTGTAACCAATTGAATTTGTGTAAACCAAATCAGTAATTCTTTATTTTTCATTTGTTGATGCAGATATGATGAAAAAGGTCCAATAGTCTGTCAGAGCAGCAGCAATTTGGTTAGATAATGTAGCATATGTGGATATTTGGATTTAAATATTGATTAATTAAATTAAATCCATTTTGTAGCCTTTATATTTCCTTTTTATTTTTTGTTTATAATGTCAACATTTGTAATTGATAGTCTAATGGGCTTTTGTTCCTAAGCAGAGTGCTTAGGATAAATAAATTGTTAAAATTTCTTGTGTGGAAAATACAAAAAGAAATGTGCAGAGATTTTGTGTTTTACATACTTCTAACATAAAAACAACATTAAGTGAAATATTTTTTCATATTTTTTTTGGCCTCAAACCAGAAAAAGGCTTAGATTTAATTTTCACATGTTTTATTGTAAAACATCATAAAACACGTGTTAATTTTCTCTTTTGTTTTTTTGGCTGTAACAATTCTGCATTGCACAATACGATGTTTTGAATAGATGAGAGATACATTTTCTCAAAAGAAAAATAATAATATTGAGGACTATCTCTTTCACATACAAAAGTTATAACTAGCTCAAAAAGGTACTTAATAATCTTCTAACATGTCTACGGGGAAAATTGGAGACTGAATCAAAAATCTTGTTGAGGCAGCAAAATACAAAGCACTGGCTTTAATTCTGCCAAAATTAAAGTTTTAGGCTGAATGATGCAGTGAGACAAGCTGTTGGATTTGGAAGACCTTTTGTATCTTGTCCAAGTTATTCCTCCTTTCCTTTGTTGCTCTGCCAGTGTCAGCCATCTGAGGTCATTTACAGGGCACCCAGCATTTTGCTTACTCTGCAAAATGCTGCGTGTAACTAATTTTTGAGTTACATACATGAAAATTCAGCTATAAGAAGTTTCTAAGTAGAAAAACTCTAGAAGATTTACAAGAACCTCTACATATTTTCTTCGTGGTATCTGACCAACCAAGCCTTAGGTTGGCTGTTTCTGTTCAAATGTGCAATTTTTCAAATCCAATTTTATGCCCAGTTAAGTTTTAGTCATGAGTAACCCCATTCTATTTTCATATTTTGCTATGAATTCATGAATCAATATTGAATCTTCCAGGAAATATATGGCTATAATCACACTGCACTTTATTGTTCACTTGGCAATTATAGCATTAACTTTATTGTAGTATTTTATTTCTACTGAAAGATGTACATATATGCTATTACAATATTACACTCATACATACAGTTTAAAGTACACATACTAGAATGAATGAAAAGTCTTTTGATAGGTATTTTAATTGTTTCTAATTGAACTTTAATCTAAAGTTGGATTTAATTATTTGTCTCTAAAACTTGAATTTTAACATTTGTTTCTTTTATGCAAAATTGTCATATTTGTACTCTGTTTCGTGTTGTGTCTCCTTTAACATCCAAAATAAAAAAAAAGACCTTGCCCTGACTATAAACCAGGAAGTATATATTAACCCGATAAGCCATTTGCAGAATTATCTAAATTGCACTGTTCTGTCCTTTGTCGGAAACATGAACAGGAAGTACAGAGTATTATTATTTGTGAATTTCTTCCTCCTAATTTGTTTACTTAGTAATGTGGCACCACAACATGGTGCCCTATGTATTGGAAATTATGATGATCGTGTGTCTTTTTAATTGTGCCTTTCTTTGGGTTCAACTTTTTTTTTTTAAGCTAAAGAGTGACAGCAATTTCTCACTTCAGTTTGTGCAGATTTATGTCTCCTCTGAAATAAAAGATCATCTGGAATATTTTGCAAAATAGTTCAAGTTCTTTCAGACTAAATTCAAATGGACATAAGCTTTCAGGTAAAAATAATGCGTTCTCAATCAGATTTTGAACTTCCTGTTGGCAACAATAATTTAAACCTGCTAATCATATACCAGCTTGTATCAGAAAATAAAGCTCATCTCATTCAAAGGTAAAAAATAAAGTCATAAAGGGTGTATCATTGATCCAAACACCACGTCTCAAGATAAGATGCCTAGATAAATATCCCTTACAAATAGCGGCATGTTGTTCACTTCAACATTTATTTCACAAGACAAGGTTTGTGCATGTTGTTGGGTGATCTGTTATTTCTGCAGGTGCTGTGCATTGACATGATTTTATAACTTTCCTTGATTTTTGGTTCCTGATTTGCTGAGTAACATATTTTGTTGACTCTGTGCAGCGTAAGAAGCAACCATGAGAAACCTTTCAGCTCTACTTCTGCTGCTTCTCCAGGGAACGGTGCTGGCTCAAACATATAGTACGTTTCTCATCTCTGTGTGGAACAAAATTGTTCAAAATATTAAGAAAAACACTGAGAAGAATAACAGTTCTGAAAGATTGAAATTGATCGTAATTGTAGGACATTAAGGAATCATTATTGAAACATTTTTTTATTCAGTTATTACAGTTCTTTAAAAGTTGTGTGTTGGTCTGTGGCTGTTTCACTTCCCAAGGACCTGAATGACTTAACTGAAACATTTAAAAATTTTGCTGACACTATTTATTTATGTAATTTTTCTACTGTTTTTTCATTCACAGAAAATGTTGCATTGCATGGAAAAGCCACCCAGTCTGACCGGCTAGAAAATGCTCTTTCATCTGCCTACAATGCCATTGATGGAAACCGTCAGGCTACCTTTAGTGCAGGATCATGCACTCACACTGATCGAATGACCAACCCCTGGTGGAGAGTGGACCTGCTGGATTCTTACATTGTCACTTCTATTTCCGTCACCAACAGAGGAGATTGCTGTTCGGAACTATTGAACGGAGCAGAGATTCACATTGGCAATTCTTTACTCTACAACGGTCTTGCAAACCCAGTGTGAGTTATTATTGAAAGATTGTTGGGAGGACTCCTGACAGGAAGTACAGGAAGGTCATGATCTGTGGCTGTCGGTTGTAAAAAGCAGGTTTCCTGGGCTTAGTTTCTTGTTGGAGAATATAAATATATTTTTGTATAATTTCTTTACTTTAATCAAAACCCCTAAATTACAAGATGTTCTTGTAACATAATGCTGAACTTCTGATGTATTTCATGAAGTTTTGTCATGCATATGTCACACAGTTCACCATGAGACAGTATTTTTTTCTGTCTTTTATCACCTTTGCAGATAAGGAACTTAGTAGAGATCTTTCCAAATATTTATTGCAACCTGGTTTGTGAATTTAGAACATAAAAGCATCAGCTACTGGTTGAAATTTGGTTAAAATACATAGAAGTAAAAAAGGATAAGCAAAATTAAAATCAAAACTACGATGAACTCTGAACATGTTAGTACTTTCCCGGTTTTCGACCAAGTTAAAAGTTTATTAATTATGTGGTGAAGAAAATATCAATACTTATTTCTAATCTCTTTTCTTAAATGTTCAACCTTTATTTTCATGGATTGCTGATATTGTTGTGACCATAATGTTTAGAAATACATTTATCTAAAGTGAAAAAACTATTTTGAAAGTAATAAAATAAGCTATGTTGAAACATCAGTGATTACTATTATCAAACAAATCCTAATGGTTCTTTAAAATTCTCTGTTTCAGGGTTGCTGTCATTTCAAATATCCCAGCAGGAAGGACTTTAACTATTACATTTACCAGAGATGTTCAAGGCCGTTACGTGACTGTTGTGCTTCCAGGTGCTTCCAGAACGCTTATGCTCTGCGAGGTGGAGGTTTATGGATACCGTGCTCCAACTGGTGAGGCCAATACTGCTACTGGGTTTTACATATTCACTATGAAGTTCTCTAATTATATTACATACTTTATATTACTTTGTAAGGCTTGATTCCAGTGAAGTTCAAAATGCAGTGAGATGCTTTTGTCATGCAAAGAGTGAGTGTAAAGCAAGAAAATAGCTCATATACATTGAGATTGTAAATTAATTTCTCGTTGATAAGGAAAACAGACATAAAGCATCAAACGGTTTTTGTTAAATGCTGAATTAGAGCTGGAGATATAACACTGAGTCATTGCGAGATGAAGTTTATACATAACATTTTCTTCATAACCTGGTAAAATTAATTGAACTTATAACATAGGATAACAACACACAATATGTGGGGAATTACATGTAATATAAAAGTTTAGGACTGATAAAAAACAAACTTTGGAAGACAAGGCAAGGAACTGATTTAATTCTGAGTCCTAACATTCAAAAAACAGGTTAACATCAGGAAAACATTAAGAACTGACATTTATTTTATTTTATCTTTTTTCTTTGTCATTAGGGAATGTGGCAATTTATGGAAAAGCTTCACAGTCAACTGTTTATCCTGGAGCCATCGCCTACTACGCTATTGATGGGAACCGTGCAGCTCTGTGGAGCCAGGGTTCCTGCAGTGCTACAAATAATGACTTTAACCCCTGGTGGAGACTGGACCTGGGAAGCACCCATAAAGTGTTCAGTATTAACATAACCAATCGGGTAGAATATCCCACTCGAATTAACGGAGCTGAAATCCGTATTGGAGATTCACTTGATAACAACGGAAATAACAATCCCAGGTATTTTACAGTCCTCTTTTAAAATAAATAAAATATTACAAACAGTATATTTTCTACCAATTCACTTTTTGCCATTTTTTGTTCAAGTAAACACTGAAAACAAACAATGTTTGTTTGTTTTTTCCATTTGCAGGTGTGCTGTGATCTCAACCATCTCTCCAGGTTCTACTAAAACCTTTCAGTGCAACGGCATGGATGGTCGATACATCAATGTTTTCATACCTGGAAGACAAGAGTATCTCACTCTGTGTGAGGTGGAAGTGTACGCATCCAAACTGGATTGAATTAAAAACGCTAGATGTTACATTATAAGGATCTCATTTTACTGATAAGAGTCTCCACAATATAAATTATGAAGTTGTCACACTTAATTATAGTTAGTTAATACTTAGAAAATTGTGACCACAAGATGGCAGAAAATCCTCACAATGAATCAAGTGTCAGACATTTATTCACATCACGAAGGGTGAGCTTTCAAGTGTTTTATAACTGTGTATATTTACAATATTAAATTAATTTGTATTTCAGACTGAAACTTGTGTTTACTTTTAGCACTTAAAGCAGATACTTTACTTTTTGATATGCTGCCTGAAGTCTTACAAGATTGTTTGAATGTTTGTCCTGATAATCTGCCTTTTGAGATATGGTGTCATCATAAATGACATCTGCAATGAATTTAAAGAAGACCTGTCCTCTTATTTTCAAGTGAAATGATTTTTAACACATTAAAGTCAACAACATTTGACCAATGAGTTGGTTATTGCTTTTGATTTCTCCTTTTCCTCATATGTATTCACTGTCTATCACTTACTTGCTTTACAAAGACAGTTACATCAATCTCAGCTGCCATCTTTAATTCTCATCAGAAGTAAATAAAGTCTGGCTGCTTGTGGTATTTATCCTATCAGATTATCACCTGCTTTTGGTTTTAAATTGGGAAATAAGCTGGGTATTTATGTATACCCAGCTTCTGACCTTTTGGATGATTAAAAACCTTTAAGAATCTTTACAAAAATACTATGCTAAATAAATACTATTTTAAAGATTAATGCACACATTAGAACTTTAAAAACAACAAGAAAATATGTCAGTTAATAGTCATGTAGACAAAGAGTTGGCAAAAATTTTGTTGAAAACCATTTATTAATATCCAAACCTGCTGATGGTTTCATACCGTACGATAATGCAGTACTTCTTAAATTATTACAGATAACATATCTTTGCACTGGAGGTAATATAAATGTAAAAGTTTTCTAAGACACTGTGAAGGTGTTTTGAAACAAAACTGGAGCTGGACTAATTCCCACATAAAAATAGTGGAAGAATAAAAATACATGCATGTTTGTAGCAAAACATCCAACTAAAAATCTGATCTGGTATTTAAAAGAGCTACTTTAAGTGGCTTGGAAGCAAAAAGATTTTCAGTCTGAGGTTCCTTTAGGCAGGGAATCAGTCTGAGGTTCGAATTAGGACCGCTGTATTTCATATTTCTGTTTTTTGTAAATTTTCTTGTAGTCATCTGGACAGGTAATGTCTCGTTCTGCAGTACCCGGGGGCCAGACACATTCTGGATGGAGAAACGCAGAGTGATGGATCCTCTGGAAAGTCAGGGGCAGGTGGCTTAATGTAGTGAGGTCTGCTACGTGAGTGCTAAGGAGAGATGTGCCGAGGCGAACCTGTTGATTCATTCCATCTGTAAATTTAAGAAACTCTGGTCCTGAAGAGAGTCTTCTTAATGTGTGTGGTGGAACTATATAAAAATTACAGAGAAGGTCACATGGGTATATTCCTTTATGACAACATATGACAACATAACATGTCTCCATCACTCTGCACACAGCCCTGACCCATCTGCAGCATCCCAACACCTACGTCAGGATGCTATTTGTAGATTTCAGCTCAGCATTTAACACCGTCATCCCAGACAAGCTGGTGCTGAAGCTACTCAAGGTGGGGCTGCCTGCTTCATTGTGCCACTGGATCAGAGACTTCCTCACCAACAGGCCTCAGGTGGTGAGAATAGGTGGCTCAACATCGTCCCCACTGGTCCTCAACACAGGCACGCCGCAGGGCTGTGTTCTCAGCCCAGCTCTCTTCACCCTGTTTACACACGACTGCGTTGCCATCCACCCCACCAACACAGTCGTCAAGTTCGCGGACGACACAACAGTAGTGGGTCTCATTTCAGACAACAACGAGACCCACTACAGAGAGGAAATTCTGCAGCTCACTCAGTGGTGTTCAGCCAATAACTTGGTGCTGAACACAGGGAAGACCAAGGAGGTCATTGTGGACTACAGAAGGTCCAGGAGGACGGGTCACACTCCCCTTCTCATAGATGGAGAAGAGGTGGAGCGTGTGGACAACATCAAGTTCCTGGGCCTCCACATCACGTCTGACCTCTCCTGGAATACCAACACCTCCCACCTGGTGAAGAAAGCACAACAAAGGCTCTTCTTCCTCAGGAAACTGAGACGGGCTGGACTTTCCTCACGGCTGCTCGTGAACTTTTACAGGGCGACGATCAAGAGCGTCCTCTGCCTCAACGTGACTGTGTGGTATGGTAGCTGCACAGCACTGGAGAGGAAACAACTGACACGGGTGGTGAGAACAGCACAAGGCATTGTGGGATGCCCCCTCCCGGACCTGGACTCTATTTACATAGGCCAGGTCAAGAAGAGAGCTGGATCCATAGCCATGGATTCCAGCCACCCGGGCCACAGACTGTTTGTGCCGCTGCCATCAGGCAAGCGGTACAGGAATATACGGACTACAACAAACAGACTGAGAAACAGTTTCTTCCCCACAGCCGTCAGAGCCATTACTCCCTGCCGCCCCCTCCCACACATATCATAACCTCACATACACCCCCCACCCCCACACAGCCATATTGTTCTGCACTTGCACTGTCACATCATCTGCACTTTACCATAATTGGACCTGCTCCTTCTTCTTTGGTGTGGTTGAGTGCCTTTAGTTAATTTTAGTTGTATATATTATTATTGTGTGTTTGTTTATTTAATATTGTATTTTTTGACTTTTTGCACGGGAGTTGCAATAGAAATTTCGTTGAATCCTGTTCAATGACAATAAATGCTATTCTATTCTATTCTATTCTATTCTATTCTATTCTATTCTATTCTATTAGGGCCATTGTAGGAATAAGAAGTAAATTTCCACCCAAAAAGGCAGATATTTTTAGATTAACCTCAGAAATTTTCTAGAAAAAGAAAGATTTTTTTTTTAGTTTGAAAAGTGAAAAATTTCTAAAAGGAAATGAAACTAGAGGATATATAAAAAAGAATGTATAAATGTAAACTTGAGCCAAAATAAGAATCAAACTGCAACCTGAAACTGCAAAAAAAAAAAAAAAAAAAAAAAAACTTATATTATTCAATTCTGCAATTTGTTGCATAAAACAATGACAGTAGGGATGTCTGTAACTCAGTCATCTTGAAGTGTTTTAGAAAAGAAGGGGCTGCTATTTTATGCAGACCAATCACAGGCAAGGAGAGTCTGATAAAAATAAAATAAAACAGTGTAAAAGGATCGATGGGTAACTTTTGCAGTTGCTCGTTTTTTAACAGTGTTAACAGAAAAAATCAAGAAATATAAAACTTGTTTCATTTAAAAGATCTCTTTGTGCATCACACAACCACTTATACTTTCTCACAAAACCTGCTTATGTAGTCAAAATTCTATTGATCTACTATAGTTTAAAGCTTTACACACCGTTGCAGTACGAGAGAAGGGTTATTTTTTCTTTTTACAATCACTGTATCCAGTGGCCATATCAAACAAGGCTAATCAGTAAACACTGTAAAGTATTTGTCTACGCAAATCTCTCTAAGCATTTAAAGCACAAGTACAGACATATGCAAACTTTGTTCTAATTATCTGATGAACACAGATAAGGTTCTTGTATAAACGAGAAAGCGTCACAAGCGAGCATTGCTTCTCAAGTGCAGCTTCATTCATCAGAATCATGTTTTAAAATACTGTCTGTGTCACTTTAGCAAGAGAAGCTGAAGGTAAACAAGGGCATTACAAATAAGTGACAGGTCAACTGTGCAGAATATAATTACATAAAAATAACACACATTCCCAGTGTGTGATCCCAATGCAATATTATTCAAGAAGATACCTAAAGTCATAACATTTTCAAGCTTTTATCTTTTGTTTCTTTTTGAACTCTGTTTAATTGCAGACATGTGATGGTGAAATGATTCAGTTTTTAAAATATTCCTGAACTTTTAGTACTTTCCTATGTGTTTGCTGTTCACCAGCTCAGAACGTTTCCCTTATTTGTACAGGCAAGGCAATCTGAGGTAGCATAAATAAACACGGCTTGGAATTTTCAGTATTACTCAACAACTAAATCCACCTCATTTAAAGCAACCATTGATGCCTTTAAATATTGTACTTAAGTACAACATTCACAAACCCACTGTGAGTGATTATGTCATAACTACAGTATAAAACAAGGAAGCCTCAATGCTGCTCAGATTTTAATTGTGTCTTTTCTGCACCTCCCCTTAAACAGAGACATACTTGGTATCTAAAGAAACCTTAGGCTCTTGGCTACAAGTTGATCAAAATCTTTTGAGCATTTGAGTTTTGGACTAATTTGCAGATATTTAGTGGATGGTAGGTGATTGAGGACACTTCTGTGTTCTTGCTTTTCAGAGATTGTCTCAAAATAAAATAAAACTGGAATGCTTTGCTGGTTTAAAGATTAAAAACTGTTTTATTTTAAGACTAACAAATTACAATTGCCACATGAATGGTATTCAGACTGACTTCAAAATGGAATTGAAAGAAATAGAAACCATACTCACAAATAACTTAGTATCCTCATGTCAAGGTCTTACTTTATTAATTTCTCATCAACACTGGCATTTTTACAAACTCCTTTATCAGACGTGTCCCCTGAACATTTGATTAATGTTTTTGGATTCAAAATTTTAAACATTTTCGTCAAGCGTTTTGCAGCAAAGGGGTAAAACATTGCTACAGACAATACATTGTAGGAACTTACAAATTGAGTATTAGTCTTTCAGAGCAACATTTTTCCTTTATTTATCTTCAAATCTAATTTCTAACATCAAATATTTTAAATTCCAACAGAAGTCATGGCAGTGGTTCCTTTAGAAAAGTTTCTAAACCATTTTTTTCTCAAAATAACCTTATTACTTTTTTGTTCTGAGGATGATTAATATGTTTCAAAGATCCACTTTTAGATTAACATTGAATTTGAAAGTGTTCTGCACCTTGGTTAATATTTTAGGAATGACCTTTCTTATTTAAGAGGCATAAAACTGTGTTTTGTTATGTTGACCTAAAGTTTAACTAAACCATGATCTATTTAAACAAATATGGCAAAACAAATAACTAAATCCAGTACCAACTGGACTTTGTGAGCTGAAGCTTACTGAGAATTGTAGGAGTTACCTTCTCTTTGAGTTGTGATTGGACAACATTTGAGTTTTACCTCATTTAAATAGATGAGTGAAGGGCTTGGCAAAGGCTCAAAGGCAAATCTCTCACCTCCAACAGCAAACTCACCAAAGAATCAAGGTAATTTCTCAGTTTTCATGAATAATTCTTACCTGAATTTCTCACAAATAGGACACTATTTAATATAATATGGTATGAAATGTGATAAAATAGTTATAATAACTATCACTATAACCTAAAGGCCAGTTTTTCTGTCCTGTGTGTGTTAGAATCATGAGGTACAGTGTATTATTTCATTTGCTGCTCCTCCTGCCAATGTACTCAGGTTACACTTACCGTAAGTACCATGTGACAGTATTTGTGAAAATTTAGAAAACGACATAAATATCTGAAGTAAAATATCCAAGATTAGGATTAATTTATTCTTCATTGAATTTCTTTGTTTATTTCAGAAAATGTGGCTTTGCGTGGCAAAGCTACACAGTCTTCTCAGTACAAAGAGGAGCCATGGAATGCATTTGTTGGTGCCTCCAATGCTATTGATGGAAACCTAAATGCTGACCTTACAAAGGGATCTTGCACCCACACTGATGCTGAAAACAACCCCTGGTGGAGGGTGGACCTACTGGACGTGTATATAGTCACCCAGGTCATCATCACCAACAGAGGAGACTGCTGTGCCGAGCACCTCAATGGTGTGGAGGTTCGCATCGGAAACTCTTTACGCCAAGATGGCACTGCAAACCCACTGTGAGTGTTTATGTCATAACTACAGTATGAAGTTATGAAACAAGGAAGCCTCAATGCTGCTCAGATTTTAGTTGTCTTTTCTGCACCTCCCCTTAAATAAATACATACTTAGTATCCAAAGAAACCTCAGGCTCTTGACTACAAGCTGATAAAAATCTTTTGAGCATTTGAGTTTATGCTCAAGGGCTAAAAGACAGACATCAGTTTCCAGAAACCTTAATCAAAAAGACGATATAGGGAGCTCTGGAAGTGCAAAAAATGTATATATTTGTAGTTATACGTTTTTTTTTTTTGTTTTTTTTTTTGTAAAATGTGTCTAAAATTGTTTTAATTTTTCTTTTGTCACACAGTATTTCCAAAAACTACACTTCAATTAGAGGAAAATTTAGCAATTTATTGTTTCGGATGAAAAAATATAGATGAGAGTAATTTAGAGGAAAAAAAATAAAGCTGTTTTAGACATGCAAAATTATGTTTAGTGAGTAAAACAAAGGAAATTCACAGTTTTAAAGCAAAACTCCTTTAAATTTTGTAAATGTTCATGTTTTGGTGACACTTGATAATGGAACTAAATGCAAAGAGACGACGGAGTCTCTGCAATAAACAAAACTACAAAAAAAAAAGACAGGGAGTCGATAATCTACAATGTAAACGTCAACAAGGAAATAAAGGCAGTATGCAGGTAAGATGAGTAAGTAATGGAAAGAACCAGCAAAGAGTGAATGAAAGAGATGTGAAATGCAGGAACAATAGTCCTGGGCTGATGAGTTAATGGATGTGAGGGGAGAGAGCAGAAGACATTTTCAGGAGAGAGAAAAACGAATCGACGACGACGGGACTGAGGAAAAGCACACTGCACTGGGAAATTAATCTAAATTAATATCTACTGGGAAATTACTAAACAAAGAAACATAATAAAATTAGAATAAACAGAAGAAAATAGACAAAAGAAATAAACATAACTACAATCTCTAAGTAGGAACAAAATTTAAAAAAGTAAAAACAAGGCGAACCTAAGGAACACAAATAATAACAAAACCCAAAATAAACTCAAGCAACCTAAAATTTTAACAGCAATATGTTTTTCCGTTTATCTTAGTTGCTTTGATGTTTGCAAAGGTAATGTCCAGTGGTGGATCTGTGGTTTCCAAAAGGTTTTAGCCTTATTTATGATATTTCTAAATAGTCTGTATGTTGTAAAAAAAACTCTACCAATGGAAAGAAAATATCTAATTCATTTAACATTACTTCCTCATTTCCTGGAAGCAGCTGTGATGCTTTCACTTTTGATGAACTCTTAGAAATCTTTATATTGTTACCAATATTGTTGAAATGGTTAGTAATTGCTAAAAAAAAAAACTTATAGTAAATTAGATTTGGGTATGTTATTTTAAAGACTCTACAAAACCCTGTGGGAATTAGTCTTACAAAATCATGAATGTTTCTGACTCAACTCTTTTTTTCTAGGGTTGCTACCATTTCTACTGTTGCAGCTGGAAGCTCTCATGCAATAAATTTTACTGAGCGTGTTGAAGGACGTTATGTGACCATTATAGCACCTGGTGTGAATAGGGTTCTAAATCTCTGTGAAGTGGAGGTCTATGGATACCGCGCCCCAACTGGTGAGAATCTTTCAAAACATGTTTGATCATATTTTCATCAGTCAAGTCTAATCAATCAAGTCAGTGATTAGACCAAGTTACCCCTGGTTTACTTCAATGAAGATTGCTCACTGTACATCTTGTAACTTCTCAGGTATGAATTCCAATAAGTCGCTTTATATCTTCTGACTAACATTTAATACTGTAAATGAAGAAAGCATCTTTTTTTATTTTTATTTGTGATGTTATTATGACTTTTCGAAACCAAAGTGAGAACTATTGAAGATATTTGTCTTAGCCAGTATTCAACTCAATCATCAGATAAAACCTGCACAAAAGAAAAACTTTTTTTTCAATGTCAATAATGTTCATAAATGTAAAATATATTTAAAAATATAACTTATCTGCTGAATGTTTATAATTTTAAAACAAAAAATCGGAAAAAGCACATGGTGGGTGTACCGTCACAGAAAGTAGACAGATATGTAATTTCTATCACAAATTGAATGTCAATGCCTATTCATGTGTGAAAACAATAAGTTTTGCACTAATCAAATACAAAATGGACTATGTGAACAATTACAAAAGAACATTCGTTAATGTTAAACAATTTGTTTTTCAGAAGAAAATGTGGCAGTTTATGGAAAAGCTTCACAGTCAACTGTTTTTCCTGGAGCCATCGCCTACTATGCTATTGATGGGAACCGTGAAGGCCGCTTTGACCTGGGTTCCTGCAGTGCTACAAATAATGACTTTAGCCCCTGGTGGAGACTGGACCTGGGAAGAACCCATAAAGTGTTCAATGTTAACATAACCAATCGGGTAGAATTTCCCACGAATTAATGGAGCTGAAATTCGTATTGGAGATTCACTTGATAACAATGGAAATAACAATCCCAGGTAGTTTATAGTAATTTTATCAAAATACTCAATACAAATAAAACATGTTTATCTCATAATTATTTTTTTGCTAAATTAATGTATATTTAATTTTATCCTGAAATCTTGAATATTTTTCCTATGACAGGTGTGCTGTGATCTCAACCATCGCTCCAGGTTTTACTGAAACCTTTCAGTGCAACGGCATGGATGGTCGATACATCAACGTTGTCATACCTGGAAGACAAGAGTATCTCACTCTGTGTGAGGTGGAAGTGTACGCATCGAGGCTGGATTAAAGTTACTAAGTTTTCATGGCATCACAGTGGTTTAAAGTTAAAGCTGCATGATTCATTTTGACCACTAGAGGGTGTAAAAAGCCTTTTGAAAATCTGATTGCATTGAAAACCAAAATAAAAATTGTTTTTCACTATTGGGAAAGCAGTTCTGAGCTGGGGTACGCATCTGATGAACCAATCACGTGTTGTCCAAAAATAGTAGTAGCTACTGAAAATTCACTTGTGAAATAAATATTGGCCGATCACTGATCTCCCAAAATTGAGGAAATCTTCGCAAAACAGGCTCTGGTAACACACAGAAATTTGGATACGTAACTTTAATCTGATTCTTGGATTGTATGTAGTAACGCATTAGATTATGCATTACAAAGGATCAGATTAGAATTACGTGTTGAGGACATGTTGACATTTCTCCTCAAGCTATTTACTGATCATATCAGGTTTCCGATATGTGTCCCCTCTAATAATAAACTTGTTCATATGCCCTTGTATTCAGTGCAAAGTAGCCTATAATTTCTTTGATGGGGGGCAGTAAGGAGCTGGATAATGGATGGGGGCGCTGGCCCAAAAAAGGTTGAGAAACACTGCGTTAGATGAACATAGAAAATGACAACGAATCTCTCAGATGAGGTTCACAAAAGTCTGAATTTAGCTTGTCATGCACATAAAAGACAGATAGATAGCTAGGTATACAAAGATTTTGTTATAAACCATTTAGCATGAATGGACATTGTTAATCTAACTGAACATATTTAAAATTAGTTTTGTCTTTAGAAGGAAGTGTTTTCTGAAACTTCAACAAAGAGCTCAATTATCTTTCTTATATATACATATGTAGTTTATATTTCTAAATATATACTAAATATATTCTTTAAAAGGGTTTAAAAAGGTGTTGTCTTGTCCTGATTCACTTTTGACTGAATGTACTTCCACTTTGTATTTACATAAAAAATTATAAAAAGTTGATTGTCTGATTTAATTTAAAACATTTTCAGAATGCACATTACTTTTGAAAAACTATTGTTTTTGATTATAATGACATTTTAACAGCTTAGAAAGTTTAGAAATTCCTTGTTTCAACTGAACACTCACTGTTTGTTAAATGGGCTTTTATGCAAGAGGAAGAGGTTTGAGTAACAGACAGAGATAAAGTCGAGTCTACCCAAGTGTTTATTCACCTGTATTAAACAGGTATTCAAACAGCTAAAAAAAAACAATTCAGCAAGACATAAGGATGTTATCAGGCAGCCTTCTTATAATTTACTAGCCCTCAGATTTTCAGGCTGTATGAATTTCACATTGTACATAATACAATGTTGTGTTTTTGTGTGGAATGTTTCCAGTTTATGGTCCGTGAGTTTTAGTTAAATGGGTAAAGTTGTTCCCAGCCTGAAAAAGTTTGATGAACAGTGCTCCAAATTGATCTCCTTTAGCTCTTTGATTTTTTTGTTTTAATGTCACTAATTTTTTGCATAGAAATTGTGATAAAATGTAATGTCCATTTTTGGGACACAGAACTTTTCTCCTTCTTGACAATGTGATGATCAAACATTCCCATGGTGTTTATACTTAGTATTAACCGTTTTAACAAATTAATTTGGTACATTTACGCATCTGGACATTAGACCTGAACATCATCATAAACCATTTTAAATGGTGTAATTTTAACATGATTTCACACAAGAAGCTGTATGTTTGAGATTTTGCCTTAAAATATATCCACATGTTTGGATATGTCAAAGTGATTAAAGGCATAGTAATCTTAATGAATGCCAATGTTTGACTTTTAAGACACCTGGGTACTTTCCAACCAAGTGTTTATTCACAAATATTGAACAAGTATTCAAACAGCTAAAAAAAACAGTTCATCATGACATGAAGATGGTATCATGCAGCCTTTTAAATGTACTACACCCTAACGTTAACAGACGGGATTAAAAACATATGGCCGAGCAAACACCTTCAAAATGACTAAAATATCCAAGCACATCATTTGAAGAATATAATAACCTGCATTATGTCTCTATGTATGCAAAGTGTTACTAAATCTGTCCTGTTCTATATAAAATTGACTTTATTTACATTTGCTAATTGGCAGATTAAAACAAATTCTAAGAATGAAGAATTCTTCTTAGAATTCCCTTCAAAGTCAAACATTGACATTAATTAAGATTATTGCCGTTAAATAATTTAGCATATCCAACCATGTGGATATATTTTAAGAAAATATGTCAAACATACAGCTTTCTTGTGTGAAATTGTAGAAAACTCAAACCATCCAAGATATGATGTTGAGAATTGTGGACCAATGAAAATCTTGATGATGCTTGGATCGTGTTCTCAGGTGCCTAAAAGGTACCAAGTTCATTTATTCAAACAATTATACTAAGTATAAACATCATGGGAATGTCCACGGATCACATTGTTCAAGAAGGAGACAGGTTCTGTGTCTCCGAGATGAACATGTCTCAGTGTAATCTTAATGGATGCCAATGTTTGACTTTTAAGACACCTGAGTACAGTCCAACCAAGCGTTTATTCACAAATATTGAACAAGTATTCAAACAGCTAAAAAAAAACAGTTCACCAGGACATGAAGATGGTATCATGTAGCCTTTTAAATGTACTACACCCTAAAGTTAACAGACGAGATTAAAAACATATGGCTGAGCAAACATCTTCAAAATGACTAAAATATCCAAGCACATCATTTGAAGAATATAATAACCTGCATTATGTCTCTATGTATGCAAAGTGTTACTAAATCTGTCCTTTCTATATAAAATTGACTTTATTTACATTTGCTAATTGGCAGATTAAAACGAATTCCAAGAATGAAGAATTCTTCTTAGAATTCCCTTCAAAGTCAAACATTGACATTCATTAAGATTATTGTGCCGTTAATAGCATATCCAACCATGTGGATATATTTTAAGGCAATATGTCAAACATACAGCTTTCTTGTGTGAAATTGTAGAAAACTCAACCATCCAAGATATGATGTTGAGAATTGTGGACCAATGAAAATCTTGATGATGCTTGGATCGAGTTCTATATCTAAAATGTACCAAGTTCATTTATTCAAACAATTATACTAAGTATAAACATCATGGAAATGTCCAAGGATCACATTGTTCAGGAAGGAGACAGGTTCTGTGTCTCCGAGATGAACATGTCTCAGTGTAATCTTAATGGATGCCAATGTTTGACTTTTAAGACACCTGGGTACAGTCCAACCAAGTGTTTATTCTCCAATATTGAACAGGAATTCAAGCAGCTAAAAAAACAGTTCACCAGGACATGAAGATGGTATCATGCAGCCTTTTACACGTACTTCTGTCACAAGTTTTGGTGGGTGGTGAGTCAGAAGCAGTGGCACCAGGTTGAATTGAAAAAGATTATATTTAATAACAAATAATCGAACAAAAGGTCCAAAAAGCCAGGCAGCATTGTTGAGCAGAAGACCAGGCCTCAACACAGGTAGCGACATACTAGACGAATGGACATGAATACGTAGACAAGCAAACTAACGACAAGGACCCAACAGAGACACAGGTGGGGTTAAATACAATCATGGAAAAAAGACACACATGGGAATAATCAAGAGGAGACAGGACAACACGGAGACTCAGGGACTCAAAAGCTCAAAAATGAACACAGATCCTGCCAACTACGCCCTAAAATTAACAAACGAGATTAAAAACATATGGCCGAGCAAACATCTTCAAAATGACAAAAATATCCAAGCACATTATTGAAAGAATATAATAACCTGCATTATGTCTCTATGTATGCAAATCGATTATATGTCCTGTTTCAAGTAAGACTGACTTCATCTCTGTTTGCTATATGGCAGACTAATGTGTTTTATAGCTGATATGTTTTAAAGCTTACGACAATGTTGCACCACTAGAGCAAACATCATGTATAAATTGAGTTATTTTCCTTTTTACAATGACTGTATACAGAGTACTTAGGAAACAAGGTTAATAAATACATAACTGTAAAATGTGTCTGTACAAATCTTAGTTGGGATTTAAAATACATGTCCAATCACAGGCAGTGTACTGTCAGTCTGTGTCACTCTTGTAAGAAGAGCTGAAGAGTAACAAGGGCATTATGAAAGAGTGTCAAGATCAACTTGCCATAAATAAAATAACTTTTATTTGTTACAGAATAAAAGTTAATAAAATCCACACACATTTCCAGTGGTGCGAAGGATCTTCTGGAATAACATTATATTTTAAAACTCTTCTTGGCTTTTATTTCACAAGCGATGTGTTGAAATTTCATTGACATAAATTGGCTGTGGTAAGAAACTGCAATGCTCAAAAATATATTAATCCCGGAATAATAAATAAAACATGTAGTCACAGTGTCATCATCCTCTTCCACCTGAGACTTTTGCAGAGTATTTACTCTCCGACAGACTCCCCCATGTTATTTCTGTCACCCTCCTTGTGCCAGGACTCAGCAAAATGATTGGACTAACTCGGTATTTGCCCAAATAATCCTGGTAAGCTGATATCAGAAATGGAAATGGCATCTTTAAGAAAGTTTCTAAACTACTTTTTCTAATAATAATTCTCTTCTTTTCTGAGGAAAATTTGTATGTTTAAAAAACTCTCAGATTCAGATTGAAAGTGTCCTGAGCCTTAGTTAATATTTTACTGTATTATCAGAAATGATCTTTCTTATTTAGGATGAGCAAAACTGTGCTATATGAAGCTGTTTCAGTGTTTGACTTGCAGGACTGAGCTTACGTGTCTTCATAAAAGCTAAGCCATGATCTGTTTAAACAAAGGTGGCAAAGTAAATAACAGAATCTGTGACAATAGGACTTTGTGAGCTGAAGCTTACTGAGAATTGTAGGAGTTAACTTGTCTTTGAGGTGTGATTGGACAACATTTGAGGTTTACCCGATATAAATAGACGAGTGAAGGACTCAGCAAAGGCTCAAAGGCAATTTCCTCAACTCCAATAGCAAACCCACCAAAGAATCAAGGTAATGTCTCTGTTCTCAAAAATTAAATCAACAATACTAGGCTGACAATCGGTAGTATTTCTCACCTTTTCAAAGGTGTTTTTCAATTTTTTTCAAATTTTATTTCTCCTGTTTTTGCCAGAATCATGAGATACGACGTACTATTTAATTTGCTGCTCCTTCTGCCAGTGTGCTCAGCTTACATTTATCGTAAGTAACATGACATTTACGCAAATTTAGAAACTACAACCATAGTTTGTGATAGAACATTAATTTATGAACTCAACAAAATAATCTAATTGAATTTATTCAAAATGAGTTTTGTCTTTAGAGAGTTTTGCTCTATCTTCAGCAAAAAAGTGTAATACCCTGTCTTCCATACATATGTCGTTTATATTTACATTTACTGAGACAGAAAAAGCACCAAAATTGACTAACAGATAAACAGATGCGAAATTTCACAACTGCATAAATCTCTAAAGCCAAAGAACCTACAATAGGATTCATTTATTCTTCATTGAATTTCTTTGTTTATTTCAGAAAATGTGGCTTTGCGTGGCAAAGCTGCACAGTCTTCTCAGTACAAAGGGGATCCGTGGAATGCATTTGTTGGTGCCTCCAATGCTATTGATGGAAACCTAAATGCTGACCTTACAAAGGGATCTTGCACTCACACTGATACTGAAAACAGCCCCTGGTGGAGGGTGGACCTGCTGGACGTGTATATAGTCACCCAGGTCATCATCACCAACAGAGGAGACTGCTGTGCAGAGCAACTCAATGGTGCGGTGGTTCACATCGGAAACTCTTTGCAAAGAGATGGCACTGCAAACCGTCTGTGAGTGTTTATGTGAAGCGCACAGTATGAAACAAGGGAGCCTCAATGCTGCTCAGATTTTAACCTTTTTCAATTCTGGACCTCCCTTAAACAGAGTCAAACTTGGCTTCCCAAGAAACATTAGACTCTGAGCTACAAGCTGATTTTGTGCCCAGGGCTTCAGGACAGTGACCACAAACCTTCATCCATAGAGATTGTAGGGATGAAGTGACAAAATACATATAAATACATATAAATATGTATATGTAGTGACAAAATATATATAAATATTGATGGTTTCTATTTCTTTAATTTTCAGGAAATGTGACAAAATGTGTTGTGACGGCTCTTTCTTTAACCCTGATTGAAAAAAATGCTCTTCAGTGGGAGTAAAATTGAGCAATTTCTTATGGTTTTATTATAGTTGGAAAGAAAATTTAAAAAAAACAAGCAATTTTAGACATAACATATGTTTTTTAAGTTTGTTAGATGATGCCAACCTATGCCTAGGACAAAAAGGCCAGACATTTCTCTGTAGATTTTCTTTAGTTTATTTCAGCTCCATTAATCTTTGTACAGCTACTGTCCAGTCTTGGATCTTTGGTTTCACAAAGCCCTATTAATTATATTTCTATAATATTTATATACTGTTGCAATTCTCATTTTCTCTGAAACTATAGTAGCTCCTGTGATATTTAAACTTATGATGGAGTCACCCCAGTGTGTTACCTTTACACTGACATCAAGATTAATGACATAGTTTGTAATTGCTAAGAAATACTCAAATAGATTTAGATATGTCATTTTAAACACTTCAGCAAATCCTATTGGGATTAAAAACCTTGAATGTTTCTGACTCAACTCTTATTTTTTAGGGTTGCTACCATTTCTACTGTTGCAGCTGGAAGCTCTTATCCAATAAAACTTACTGAGCGTGTTGAAGGACGTTATGTGACCATTATGACACCTGGTGCACAGAGGTTTCTAAATCTCTGTGAAGTGGAGGTCTATGGATACCGCGCTCCAACTGGTGAGAATCTTTTGATACATTTTTGATCATATTTTTATCAGTCAAGTAGGATGGAGATTTTAAATTTGTTGAAAATGGTATCTTCTGACTAACATTGCAAACTGCAGTCATACAACATATAGAACAAAAAATATGTTGAGCTATAACCATGAAAAGAGTTACGCCCATTTCTTGGTTTCAGTTTCTTTATTTCTGTTGTTTTTATGACTTTTTGGAGCCAACATAATAACTGGCAATAAATGAGATTTGTACAGACATCTCTAGCAGATTTATTGACTCAGTCATCAGATGAAACACAAGAGCACTGTTTACTCAATGTCAAGGCTCTTCTTACAAATGAATTGTATATGAAATATATATCCTCAACTGAAAGTTCTTATTAATTTAAAAGAAAAAAAACACCTTTTGGGACATGTCCTTACAAAACACAGAGTGGGTGCACATAAAGTAGAAAGGTATTTATTCTCTCTAGCAAATTCTCTGTCGATCCTCTGCTTATATGAAAACAAGAAGTTTCGGTTTTGCACGTTTCTAAATATCAAATTGACTACTTGAACAAACACACAAAATAAATAAAAATGTGTAATTGTCTATATGTATATAGGGAGAGGATATTAGAAGACTATGTATCACAGCTGACATTTAAAATGTTGTTTTTCAGAAGAAAATGTGGCAGTTTATGGAAAAGCTTCACAGTCAACTGTTTATCCTGGAGCCATCGCCTACTATGCCATTGATGGGAACCGTGCAGCTCTGTGGAGCCAGGGTTCCTGCAGTGCTACAAATAATGACTTTAGCCCCTGGTGGAGACTGGACCTGGGAAGAACCCATAAAGTGTTCAATGTTAACATAACCAATCGGGTAGAATTTCCCACTCGAATTAATGGAGCTGAAATTCGTATTGGAGATTCACTTGATAACAATGGAAATAACAATCCCAGGTATTTTAGTCATTTTATCAAAATACTGAATGTAAATAAAACATGTTGTTATCAGCATTAATAATTCATCTCATAATTATTTTTGCTAAATTAATATATATTTAATTTTATCCTGAAATCTTAAATCTTTTTCCTCTGACAGGTGTGCTGTGATCTCAACCATCGCTGGAGGTGTTACTAAAACCTTTCAGTGCAACGGCATGGATGGTCGATACATCAACGTTGTCATACCTGGAAGACAAGAGTATCTCACTCTGTGTGAGGTGGAAGTGTACGCATCGAGGCTGGATTAAAGTTACTAAGTTTTTATGACATCACAGTGGTTTAAAGTTAAAGCTGGATGTAAAAAGCCTCATGAATATCTGATTATATTAAATGTGATTAAATACACAATGGGAATGGCAATTTTGGGCTGGGATGAGCTGCCGGTGAACCAATCACGTATTTCTGGGAAACTTTGGGATGCTTGATGGGTCTGATTTTGAGAAAATAAAAGCAAGAGGAGTAAAATCAATGTAGTTCATTTAAAACAAGACTGAGAGCAATAATGTCAACTCCAACTCTTGGTAACACTGTCTTTTGAACAGAGTCTGTCAGAGCAATTGTTCTGCAATGATTTTATCATCCATCACCTATCGTATTCATCCTGTGGTTTGTTGTTCTGTTCTGCACCCTGCTGTGAGTTTCCTTATTAAATTGTCCTATTAAGTCTGCAAAGTTATTTGTGGATTCTTTGCATGTAGTGTTGAGCAGTAGATGTTTATTGTTGAACTATACTCAGTAGTTACTTAATTGTCTGTTAAATTGCTTTTTGACCCAAAATGCCATAATAAAGATTGAACTGACCGCGATGATTCTGACATAGTAATAATAAAGGTGATTGTGTAAAGTATCAACTGCTAACATACATCTGTAGTCTCTCAAAACAAACTGGCAAATTTCCACATAAAATTAAAATTGCAACAGTAATCCCACTGCATAAACCTGGGAACAGACCATTTTACAAATTACAAGCCTGTTTTTTATTTTGCTTTCACAATTCTCAAAAGTTTTGAAATAATACTTGTTGCAAGATTTATAAATAAACATTAACTAATTAATGTCTGAGTGTCAGTAAGGTTACAAAGATCTGCAGCAATGGCAGTTCTTCAATTAATGCAAAAGGTTACCAACTCATTTGACAAAAGTAAATCTGCCATTTGGATATTTATTGACTAAATAAAGCATTTGATGCAATTAATCATAGAATATTACTCAGTAAACTTAAGAGGAGTTGTTTTGCAATGAATTATAAACTCTCTCTACAACAGGCAACTAAATGTGCATATGGGTGATTTTCAGTCCTCATGTTTGGACATTGTATGTGGTGTCTTCCAGAAGTAGGCATTAGGATCAAAGTAGTTTATTTCATACATAAATTTTATAAGTAAAGTTTCAGAAATACTTAATCTTGTTTTGTTTGTGTGTGACAAAAAATGTTCTATTCAGAAGAAAATTTACAACAGCTCTTGTTAAAAAATCAATTGAGTTTGGTAAATTCACAAAGTTATTTGATATTAGTAAATTCTCACTTAATTTGGATAAAAATAAGTTACAATTATTTGGTAATTGTAAAAGTAATAGAGATTTTAAAAAATCATTACCTCCTCAAAGTCATTGATTTGGTAGTTTGAAATTGCACAGTTTATGTACAAAGCTGGAAACAAACTATTTCCAGATAATATTCATAATATTGTCAACGACAGAGTCGGGGGGCAGCGCTGTAACTATAGGGAGAACTTTAAGTTCAGAATATTAAGTGTTCGAACAACCATGAAGAGAATGTGCATACCAATCAGTGGTGTGAAGATTTGGAATAAACTCAGCACAGAGCAGGAGCAAAGTCCAAACATGAGGTTAAGAAAAACCTCAAAATGGTTATTATCAAAAAGTGCCGGGATGAGGAGGGGGTGATGAATTCGGATGAAAATTAAAACACTGTGGATGAGTTGGGCAAGGTTTGTGTAGGTGTGTCTTATATGTGTGTGTTTACACATATAAATATATATTATATATACAATTTAAAAAAAAAATTTCCCTTCTCACCCACTGCCGGTGGTTCTTATATACTACTTTGATTTTGTGCTGTCTTTTTTTTAGTGAAAATATCTGAAATGAAAATTTATCACCGTCAAAGAATATCAGCAAACCACATGGCAGTAAATCAATGCAATTGGGAATAAACTATGGAGCAGTATCTGATGATGATAGAACATAATTAGGGTCTGGTGGAGTGGTAGAAAAACTGTATGGATGTCCAAACAACTCTGTGGAAAGCTTGTGAGAATGCCATGTTGATATACACCAAAAAATCTAAGGAATGTTTCAAGTTTAATCTCTACCTGGGAGAGAAATGGAGTTTGGAGTGGTAAAGGGACGCCTTTTTTGGAGACTGCTGTGTAGAAACTCCCAAATATATAAATGTACATACATTATATTGCTAAAGGTATTCATTTGCGTGCCATGACTCGCATATCAGCTCAAGTGATAGCCCATTCCAAATATTATGTTTTAGCAACCACTGCTCTGTCACCTAGTGACTGGGACAAGAACTTCCACTCACTGATGGGGTGCTATTTGGGTTCGTTAAGTTCTGGTAGATACCACGCAGTTTACCTATGTTGAGTAAATCCTTACTCGTCCAATCACCTTACACACCTTTGATGTAACATAAATAACTCCAGACAACCAGCTAACTGAAAAATGTCTTTTTATATGAACTTGAAGAAATAAGATATTAACTCCACTATGCCCCAAAATAATTAAAAACAAAACTTAAATATAGAGCAAGGTCATTAATTCCCAACATTAAATGTTTCCCAAAATAAAAAAGGCACTTTACTTTTCAGTCCCATATGTTTTCCTCACTTTGACTTTGTGTTTTTAAGAAAAACTCTTACTTTTAACTGCTGCTTACCACAGTGAAGATTTGGAAAGGTGCTGATATTGTATTGTTTTTCAAAACCACATGCATAATATTTTACTCTTATTTACAACTTAAAATATTATTTTTGCCTTATGTGAATTGAATCCATGACCTTGGCATCATGAGCACTATGTTCTGACCGACTGAGCTAAGAGAGCATCGTTTGTTTGTCAATACAAGAGCAAGAGGTTTGACTCCCAGACAGAGATAAAGTTTGGTAAACCCAACTGTTCATTCACCAATATTAAACAGGTATTTAAACAGCTAAGAAACCAGTTCAGCTGAACATAATGATATTATCAGGCAGCATTCTTATAATCTACTAAGCCATCAAACATATATTTCAGTATATGTTGTAAGAATATATGGTGGTTGCCACTGTTTTCTCCAAATTAAATACTGATTGGATTATTTGTTATTAAATGTCATCTTTTTCAATTCAACCTGGTGCCACTGCTTCTGACTCACCACAACAACTTGTGACAGAAGTACGTCTAAAAGGCTGCATGATACCATCTTTATGTCCTGGTGAACTGTTTTTTTAGCTGCTTGAATTCCTGTTCAATATTGGTGAATAAACACTTGGTTGGACTGTACCCAGGTTTCTTAAAAGTCGAACATTGGCATCCATTAAGATTACACCAAGACATGTTCATCTCTGAGACACAGAACCTGTCTCCTTCCTGAACAATGTGATCCTTGGACATTTCCATGATGTTTATACTTAGTATAATTGTTTGAATAAATGAACTTGGTACATTTTAGATGTAGAACTCGATCCAAGCATCATCAAGATTTTCATTGGTCCACAATTCTCAACATCATATCTTTGATGGTTTGAGTTTTCTACAATTTCACACAAGAAAGCTTTATGTTTGACATATTTTCTTAAAATATATCCACATGGTTGGATATGCTAAATTATTTAACGGCACAATAATCTTAATGAATGTCAATGTTTGACTTTGAAGGGAATTCTAAGAAGAATTCTTCATTAGAATTCGTTTTAATCTGCCAATTAGCAAATGTAAATAAAGTCAATTTTATATAGAAAGGACAGATTTAGTATCACTTTGCATACATAGAGACATAATGCAGGTTATTATATTCTTGGATATTTTAGTCATTTTGAAGATGTTTGCTAGGCCATATGTTTTTAATCCCGTCTGTTAATTTTAGGGCGTTGTACATTTAAAAGGCTACATGATACCATCTTCATGTCCTGGTGAACTGTTTTTTTAGCTGTTTGAATACTTGTTTAATATTTGTGAATAAACACTTAGTTGGAAAGTACCCAGGTGTCTTAAAAGTTAAATATTGGTATTCATTTAGATTACTATGCCTTTAAACACTGTGACATATCCAAACATGTGGATATATTTTAAGGCAAAATCTCAAACATACAGCTTCTTGTGTGAAATCATGTAAAAATTATATCATTTGCTTACATAGAGACATAATGCAGGTTATTATATTCTTTCAATAATGTGCTTGGATATTTTAGTCATTTTGAAGATGTTTGCTCGGCCATATGTTTTTAATCTCGTTTGTTAATTTTAGGGCGTAGTTGGCAGGATCTGTGTTCATTTGAGAGTTTTTGAGTCCCTGAATCTCCGTGTTGTCCTGTCTCCTCTTGATTATTCCCATGTGTGTCTTTTTTCCATGATTGTATTTAACCCCACCTGTGTCTCTGTTGGGTCCTTGTCGTTAGTTGTGCTTGTCTACGTATTCATGTCCATTCGTCTAGTATGTCGCTACCTGTGTTGAGGCCTGGTCTTCTGCTCAACAATGCTGCCTGGCTTTTTGGACCTTTTGTTGGATTATTTGTTATTAAATATCATCTTCTTCAATTCAACCTGGTGCCACTGCATCTGACTCACCACCCACCAAATCTTGTGACAGAAGTATGTGTAAAAGGCTTCATGATAACATCTTCATGTCCTGGTGAACTGTTTTTTTAGCTGCTTGAATTCCTGTTCAATATTGGTGAATAAACACTTGGTTGGACTGTACCCAGGTGTCTTAAAAGTCAAACATTGGCATCCATTAAGATTACACTGAGACATGTTCATCTCGGAGACACAGAACCTGTCTCCTTCCTGAACAATGTGATCCGTGGACATTTCCATGATGTTTATACTTAGTATAATTGTTTGAATTTTGATTTTAGATAGAACTCGATCCAAGCATCATCAAGATTTTCATTGGTCCACAATTCTCAACATTATATCTTGGATGGTTTGAGTTTTCTACAATTTCACACAAGAAAGCTGTATGTTTGACATATTGCCTTAAAATATATCCACATGGTTGGATATGCTAAATTATTTAACGGCACAATAATCTTAATGAATGTCAATGTTTGACTTTGAAGGGAATTCTAAGAAGAATTCTTCATTAGAATTCGTTTTAATCTGCCAATTAGCAAATGTAAATAAAGTCAATTTTATATAGAAAGGACAGATTTAGTAACACTTTGCATACATAGAGACATAATGCAGGTTATTATATTCTTTAAATGATGTGCTTGGATATTTTAGTCATTTTGAAGATGTTTGCTCGGCCATATGTTTTTAATCTTGTCTGTTAACTTTAGGGTGTAGTACATTTAAAAGGCTGCATGATACCATCTTCATGTCCTGATGAACTGTTTTTTTAGCTGTTTGAATACTTGTTCAATATTTGTGAATAAACACTTGGTTGGACCGTACCCAGGTGTCTTAAAAGTCAAACATTGGTATTCATTAAGATTACTGTGCTTTTAAACACTTTGACATATCCAAACTGTCGGGGACTCAAACCTCTTGCTCTTGCACAAAAGCCCATTTAACAAACAGTGAGGGTTCAGTTGAAACAAGGACTTTCTAAACTTTCTAAACTGTTGCAATGTCATTATAATCAGAATTTTTTAAAAGTAATGTGCATTCTGAAAATGTTTTAGATAGATTCAGCCAAAAGTGAATCAGGACAAGACAACATCTTTTTAAACCCATTTAAGGAACGTTCAAGTATATATTTAAAATTGTAAACTACATATGTATAGAAGGCAGAGTATTTTGCTTTTTTCAATTAGAGGTTTCTTATTACAACTGTATGAAGATATTTGCACTATAAACTAGACCCAAATTATTTGTTAAGAGTTTGTATTTTTGCAAAGTGTAAAATATTATCTGTCTGTATGAATTTTTTTGGGTATTTAACATACAGATCCAAGCAAATGCTCACTCTGAATTGGTTCTACTCAGGCTGACATCAAAAGGCAACTTTGGAAAATAAAAACAGAAATTATGTTCCACAAAAATAACCTCATCTCAAAGTCTTCCTTTATAAATTTCTCATCAACAGTGGGATTATCACAAACTCCTTTAACAGATTTTTTCTTTGAACAATTGATTAATGCTGTTGTATCCAAAGTGTGAAACATTTGCATCAAGCATCTTGCAGCTTAGTGGTTAAACATTTGTCACTAGAATAGCTTATAAAAACATACAAATTGAGCATTAGAAAGCCATATTTTTTCCTATATTTATATCTTAAAATATATTTATTAAGAGGTAATAGTTTGAGCTTCAAAAAATACTTGAAGAGGTTCCTTTAGGAATGTTTCAAAAAAGTTTTTTGTTGTTGTTTTTTTTTTTACAATAACTAAAATACTCATCTTATTCTGAGGATGATTAGTATTAAAATATCCACTTTCGGATTCACGTTGAATTTGAAAGTGTTCTGAACCCTGGTTAATATTTTACTGTTTTCACTAATTACCTTGTTATTTAGTAGACATAACACTGTGTTATTCCACCTAAAGTTTAACTAACTCATTATTTGTTTAAACAAAGATGGCAAAGTAAATAACTGAATCCAGTGACAATAGGACTTTGTGAGCTGAAGTTTATTGAGAGTTGTAGGCGTTAACTTGTCTTTGAGGTGTGATTGGACAACATTTGAGCTTCACCTGATATAAATAGATGAGTGAAGGACTCAGCAAAGGCTCAAAGGCAATTCCCTCACCTTCAACAGCAAACCCACCAAAAAATCAAGGTAATTTTTTAGTTTTTATAAATAATTATTACCAGAATTTCTCACAAATACGACACTATTTAATATGATATAGCATGAAATAATATAAAAAAGTTATCCTAATTATCCTAAATAGACCTTAATATTATTAAACTTAGAAAATGTTTTCACAGCTTTTCTCTTCTGTTTTTGTCAGAATCATGAAGTACGGTGTTCTGTTTCATCTGCTGCTCCTCCTGCCAGTGTGCTCAGTTTACACTTACCGTAAGTAACATGTGAATGTATCTGTCTATATTTGAGAACTATAAACATTGTTTGTGATACAACATTAATCCATGAACATGGCACCTTAATCTAACTTCAATAAAAATGCTAAAGATTGTTCCTTCCAGATATATGCAGTTCATAAAGTGGTGTGCAAAAGTATTCATACCCCTTGAACTATTCCAAGTTCAAGGGGTATGAACACAAATATAAATATATATCATTGGAATTTAATGTGAAAGACAACAATAGTGACATATAAATAAAACTATACATATGGGTTTAAGACGGTATTGTCTTGTCCTGTTTCATTCTTGGCTGAAGATATTCAAATCAAGTAACAGATGAATGGAAGAATTTTTAATGATGGCAAAAATCCATCAGACCAAATAACCTACAAAAGAATTCATTTATTCTTCATTGAATTTCTTTGTTTATTTCAGAAAATGTGGCTTTGCGTGGCAAAGCTACACAGTCTTCTCAGTACAAAGGGGAGCCATGGAATGCATTTGTTGGTGCCTCCAATGCTATTGATGGAAACCTAAATGCTGACCTTACAAAGGGATCTTGCACCCACACTGATGCTGAAAACAACCCCTGGTGGAGGGTGGACCTGCTGGACGTGTATATAGTCACCCAGGTCATCATCACCAACAGAGGAGACTGCTGTGCCGAGCACCTCAATGGTGTGGAGGTTCGCATCGGAAACTCTTTACGCCAAGATGGCACTGCAAACCGTCTGTGAGTGATTATGTCATAACTACAGTATGAAGTTATGAAACAAGGAAGCCTCAATGCTGCTCAGATTTTAGTTGTCTTTTCTGCACCTCCCCTTAAACAAATACATACTTAGTATCCAAAGAAACCTCAGGCTCTTGACTACAAGCTGATAAAAATCTTTTGAGCATTTGAGTTTATGCTCAAGGGCTAAAAGACAGACATCACTCTCCAGAAACCTTAATCAAAAAGATGATATAGGGAGCTCTGGAAGTGCAAAAAATGTATATATTTGTTGTTATACGTTTATTTTTTTGTAAAATGTGTCTAAAATTGTTTTATTTTTTTCTTTTGTCACACAGAATTTCCAAAAACTACACTTCAATTAGAGGAAAATTTAGCAATTTATTGTTTCGGATGAAAAAATATAGATTAGAGTAATTTAGAGGAAAAAAAATAAAGCTGTTTTAGACATGCAAAACTATGTTTAGTGTAGCATGGAAATTCACAGTTTTAAAGCAAAACTCCTTTAAATTTTGTAAATGTTCATGTTTTGGTGACACTTGATAACGGAATTAAATGCAAAGAGACGACGGAGTCTCTGCAATAAACAAAACTACAAAAAAAAAAGACAGGGAGTCGATAATCTACAATGTAAACGTCAACAAGGAAATAAAGGCAGTATGCAGGGTAAGACGAGTAAGTAATGGAAAGAACCAGCAAAGAGTGAATGAAAGAGATGTGAAATGCAGGAACAATAGTCCTGGGCTGATGAGTTAATGGATGTGAGGGGAGAGAGCAGAAGACATTTTCAGGAGAGAGAAAAACAAATCGACGACGCCGGGACTGAGGAAAAGCACACTGCACTGGGAAATTAATCTAAATTAATATCTAATGGGAAATTACTAAACAAAGAAACATATTAAAACTAGAATACTCAGGAAAAAAATAGACACAAAAAATAAACATAACTACAATCACTAAGTAGGAACTGAATTAAAAAAGTAAAAACAAGGGATAACTAACATAGATAAGAAAATAAGGAACACAAATAATGAAAAAATGCAAAACAAAATAAAACAACCTAAAATAGTTTCAACATTTTTTTTGTTAACCTTAGCTGCACCAATTTTTGCACAGGTAATGCCCAGGGATGGGTCTATGGTTTCTAAAAGATTCTTGCCTTATTTGTGATATTTCTAAAAGTTTATAGTATATTGCAAGAACACTCTGCCAAAGGACAAAAAATATTCCAACTCATTTATTATTACATTCTCAATTTCTCTGAAACTCTAGCAGGTGGTGTGATCCCTTTACTTCTGAAGGACTCTTCTAAATGTAATCTTTATATTGACACCAAGGTAATTAAAATAAAGACTGTAACTACAAAAAAAACTAAATTAATTTGGGGTACGTCAATTTAAAGAGTCCAGCAAACCCTGTCGGAATTACTCTTACAAAATCATGAATGTTTCTGACCCAACTCTTCTTTTCCAGGGTTGCTACCATTTCTACTATTGCAGCTGGAAGCTCTCATGCAATAAATTTTACTGAGCGTGTTGAAGGACGTTATGTCACCATTATAGCACCTGGTGTGAAGAGGGTTGTAAATCTCTGTGAAGTGGAGGTCTATGGATACCGCGCCCCAACTGGTGAGAATCTCTCAAAACATGCTTCATCATATTTTCATCAGTCAAGTCTAATCAATCAAGTATCACTGACTTGATTGATTAGACCAAGTTACCCCTGGTGTACTTTAATGAAGATTGCTCACTGTACTAACTTCTCAGGTTTAAATTCCAATAAGTCGCTTTATATCTTCTGACTAACATTTAAAACTGTGTTCACACCATATATACAACCAAAAAAAACCAAACATATTTAGCTAATATGATGCCAAATTGAAGCATTTACAAAATAAAGTTTACTTAAGAGTTAAAAATGATGAAAACATCGTTTTTCATTTGCGTTGTTTTTATGACTTTTCGAAACCAAAGTGAAAACTATTGAAGATATTTGTCTTAGCCAATATTCAACTCAATCATCAGATAAAACCTGCACAAAAAAACAGTTTTTTCAATGTCAATACTGTTCATAAATGTAAAATGTATTTAAAAATATAACTTATCTGCTGAAAGTTTATGGTAATTTAAAACAAAAAATCGGAAAAAGCACATGGTGGGTGTACCATCACAGAAAGTAGACAGATATCTAATTTCTATCACAAATTGAATGTCAATGCCTATTCATGTCTGAAAACAATACGTTTTGCACCAATCAAATATAAAATGTAAATATAAATATATAAATGTGAACAATTACAGAAGAACGTTAGCTAACGTTAAATAATTTGTTTTGCAGAAGAAAATGTGGCAGTTTATGGAAAAGCTTCACAGTCAACTGTTTTTCCTGGAGCCATCGCCTACAACGCTATTGATGGGAACCGTGAAGGCCGCTTTGACCTGGGTTCCTGCAGTGCTACAAATAATGACTTTAGCCCCTGGTGGAGACTGGACCTGGAAAGAACCCATAAAGTGTTCAATGTTAACATAACCAATCGGGTAGAATTTCCCACTCGAATTAATGGAGCTGAAATTCGTATTGGAGATTCACTTGATAACAATGGAAATAACAATCCCAGGTAGTTTATAGTAATTTTATCAAAACACTCAATACAAATAAAACATGTTTATCCCATAATTATTTTTTGCTAAATTAATTTATATTTAATTTTATCCTGAAATATTAAATCTTTTTCCTCTGACAGGTGTGCTGTGATCTCAACCATCGCTCCAGGTTTTACTGAAACCTTTCAGTGCAACGGCATGGATGGTCGATACATCAACGTTGTCATACCTGGAAGACAAGAGTATCTCACTCTGTGTGAGGTGGAAGTGTACGCATCAAGGCTGGATTAAAGTTACTAAATTTTCATGGCATCACAGTGCTTTAAAGTTAAAGCTGCATGATTAATTTTGACCACTAGAGGGTGTGAAAAGCCTTTTGAATATCTGATTGCATTGAAAACCAAAATCAAACTCACTATTGGGAAAGCAGTTCTGAGCTGGGGTACGCATCTGATGAACCAATCACGTGTTTCGGGGACAATGTGGGATGCTTGCTGGGTCTGATTCTGAAAGATAAGCAATAACTTGGGACCACAGGTTGAAAAACTAACAAAAAAGAAAGAACAACAAATGTATCAGTTAATATAAAAAAAGATCTATTATGTATACTCTTAAAAATCTTGTCTTTTGAACAGAATCTGTAAGACTGTTTATCTATCATGTCTATCAGACAATCAAAATATCTTATGATCTATGTTATATTTCTCACTAATCCTGTGGTTTATTCAACTGGTCTGAAATCTGGTGTGTATTTCTTTATTAAATCACTATAATAAGTCTGCAAAGTTGTTTGTGGATTATTTGTACATAATATTACTGCACACTACTATTTAATTTTCTGTTGAATTGATTGTTGATACAACTAGAAAATCAGCAAATCACATGTAAATCAATGCAGTTGGGAATGGACTGCAACAGTGTCTGATGAAACAGAGCATCATTGGAATGTGGTTTCATTTGTTTCATGGATGTGCAAACAAATCTGATGGAATCATGTTAATATATCTAAACAATGTTTCCAACACATACTTGAATCTCTGTCATGAACAAGAATGCTGTTTTGATGGCTCAAAGGGCCCAACCTGGTCTATTTTGATACATGGAAACTATCAAATTATATATAATATTTGTCTTTGCTTTATATTTTCTCTACAAGAGGATTTGACATAGTACAAGATCTCTGAAGAGAATCTCTCATAACCAAATAGAATTTGACATAAACAATTAAATGGGAGTTTATTTATGATAAAGTCTTTGCCCATTTGTAAATTAATATCTGGTTCTGCCACTGTTCAACCCCTTCACTGGCAGTGTCCCATCCATGGGACAAATCTAGTTTGTTTGAATGCGCTGCCTTTTTTGCTGCTAGTTAGTTAACAATGAATTGCTACTTTTCATCTTTCCTTTCCTTCTTGGCCATTCACTGTGTTTTACTTCCTTATCATGCAAATATTTGCAAAAACCGCAGCATCAGTCTCCAGTGTCATTTTTCCCTCAGCAGTAAATCAAGTGTTGCTGACTGTTGTATTTTTTCTGTCAAAAAAAATCACACGTCTGCAATGGATTTTGGGATTTAATTGGGAAATAAATCACATTACTTTTTTCTGGTATTTTCATTGATTAAAAATTTTTAAGATCTTTGGTGAAAAGAAATATCAAACCAGGGCAGATAAGTTACTTGATTTACTTTTATTTTGTATGTTTCTCAAGAAAAAGAACAAATAGAATATAAATTCACATAATGTTATGCTAAATAGGTAAGCCAGTTTAAAGATTAATACATCCTTTAGAAGATCATAGAAGATAACAAGAAATAAACTTATTAGTAATTTGGACAGATGAAAATAAACTTTTTATGCACCTAAGAGACAAATAGACAGCAAGGAATACAAAGATTTTTTTGTTAAATCATTTAGTAATAGTGGTTTTTGGGATAAGTTTCTGCATTCTTATTTTTTCTGATATTTAACAGCAACAACAATTAGGATAATCATCACATTGTTTCCAAAATTTGGTATTATTGCTAAAAAAAAAAAAAAAAAAAAAACATCTTTATTAAGCGTCATCAGCGACAGCAAAATGTTTTTTGTTTGTTTTTTGTTACCACCCTGGTTGGTGGGCTTTCATATCTTCAAATCAGAATCTTAGCAGTCCTGCTGTATTCCTCTTATGGGTTGTGTTTCTCTGCTTCCTTGATGAAAACTCTTCCATCTGAGTGTTTTTTCCAATTAACATGGATGACATCATTCACGTTTTCACTCAGTCTTTGCTTCATCTGGGGTAAAGAAAACATCCCTTTTTAATCAGTATATACATGTAGTTTAAGCTGACTGAATCAAAGCAGATCTACACTTGATCGTTTGACATCTGGAAGACTTACTTGCTCCAAGATGCTGTTTTGCACTTTAGGGTCATTCAGCTCTAAAGTTGAGTCCTGAAGGCTGATCCTCATTTTCACAAACTGCAGATTAGATTTTCCTACAATTCAAAATAAAACCAAATCATTTGTCAGGGTGGCTTAGGGACTGATTCTACAGTTTGTTTATCCATGTGTCAGCCTGCACTGATTAGAAACTTTTACTTACTGCATTTGCAGAGGAAAGGATGAACTTCTGTGCATTTCCTGTCTCCCCATTTGCCAGATTCATTCTTCAGCATTGCAACACAATATTCATTGCCTTGTGTATTCATCAGTTGGGATTCCCTCCAGTACCTCAGAGAAGAGTCAGTCATGTCCGACCAAACCCAGGGGTCTCTGAAGAGACCAACAAATACTGATTTTCCATCGGCTACTCCCTGGACTGTTGTGTATTCTGTGTCATTCCTCAAGCTGACCAGGTCTGTGTAGTTTTGTCTGCAGAAATCTCGAGCAGCGGTCCAAGTCAACGGTTCTGGACTGAGGATGTAATGAGCTGCTCTCTGTTCTGAACCAGAAAAGAACATTTTTGTGTTTACAACATAAACAATAGAGGAAATGTACCAAGCAGTGTTTTTGTAATTATTAAATTAATTATTCTTATTAATCAAAAAAAGTGTTCTAAGGACTTAAACAAAATCAACTTTGGACATATGTCAGTTTCTATGTGGACAAGAGGTACAAATTCAGCAGAAACATGCATCCATCCTTTGTCTATCTGTTATCTGAGATTGGGTCTCAGGAATAACGAACACTCCCCAAATCGTTCGAAGGGAATTACAATGTATTCTCAGGCTGATAGGGTCATCACTGACCAGGCAAAAAATCTTAATGTTACTGCAAAGTCCATGTTAGTGTCCATGGAGGGCATTTTGTTTGTACTTGGAAGTCTGAAAATCAAACAGAACGCTCGATAATGATGGAGTCAGCCACAGTTAGACATTTAGTGTGGCTGCTGAAACAATATGTTTGTTTACACTTCTGATTGTTTGCATTACATTAGTAATCCAGTGGCACACATACTGTTCAATAGCATGTTAACAGCCTAGCATGCTATTATTGAGCATAATAAGGATAATTTGTTTTGCTATGCATAACTGATTGTCGGCGTTTTCGTACTATTAGGAGAAAAATGTAAAAGGAATACTCACTATCAAAGCAGACTGAATATTTAGTGACAACACAAGAGATTGTAAAAAGTTTCCCAGAACCAAAAGCACCACAGTTGTCTGCACCTAACGAGCTCCATATTAGATAATTTTTTTCTCCATCCTTGTAGAAATCTTTGTCTGCTAGAGACCAGTGCCACTTTGGGTTGCTTCCTCTGTGCAACCCAATCCATACGGCATCAGTGTAGTCATCTCCAAAACTTTGAAGAGCCATGTCCATCTCATTCATGTCTTCCATGGTGGCCAGGTCAACACACTTTTCCCTGCAGTAGCTCTGTGCCTCCGTCCAGTTTTTTGGAGTGTGGACTAAGACATATTGGTGCTGATACACACAGAGACAAAGAGAACAAAGACCTGTAGAAGAAACGTAGGAAATGTAAAGAGCAACAAGGATTAGTTGGAAACTCTTGTCTGAGAAGATGAGTGTTTTTTTTCTGTTAGAAAATGTGCTCTGAGGTGGCACGTTTTACACATGTATAAAACAAATTTATAAAACTTGGAGAAAACTAACCTGCAAGAATCATTAGCTTGATGACATTTCCCATGGCTGCTATAAATCTATGGGAAGAAAGAAAACTGAAATTAACTTATTTATATAGCAAAGTATTTTGTAAAGTTGTAATAGTAGCTTATTAAATAGATTGAGATGTTAATGTAATGTGCTATATATGATTTCTCTCTATAAATTGAATTTATTTAGGAATGTAAACATTTTGAAATGTTGAAATGTATAATAATTCAACGTATGATTATCTTAATATTTGATTTTTTTTTTTAAATAAATGAGCAACAACTTTGTAATCTAACCACTGTAGATAACGAAGAACAAAAATACAGGGTGCCAAAATAAAGGCATAAAGTAAATGGAAAATAATATCTGCGATGTCTTGGTTACATGTGGTGAAAGAAATGGTTAATTAATGGATAAACAATGAATATCGGATAAGATTTAGAAGTAATCTTACCTTATGTTTTCTGAGTCCTATGTTCACCAATAATTGATGCTACTAGGAATTAACTTCTGAATTAAACTTTTGTTACAGTAACTGTGCAAAGTGTGGTTAAAGCTGTTTCTGAATGGTGTGTGGTGGATGTTTTGTGACAGTCAGGTCTTAAATTACTTGCTCTTCTTCTTCTGTATGAAAATCAGTATGGAAATGACAATAAGGACCAGTAATCCACATTCCTGTTCACCACTGACATCGAATAAGATTAATCATTTACTGTTTTACAAACATTACACCTCTTTCTTAAATGCCAGAATAAAAAGATGTTATAGGATTGTTTTTACAGCTTTCTTGTAAGTAAACATACTTTGTATTTAAACAATTTGGAAAAGCCTGATCTAGGTCAACAGACATGCAATTCATCAGAAGCAACTTAGTTATGGATCATTATTTTTGAATAACCTTGAAACATAATGATCTACAATCATGTTACATAAGTTTTTACATAGTTGTGTAAAAAATAAAGTTTTGGTGCTTTTCCAAACCTACACATTCTCCATGTTTTAAAAATAATAAAAAACTGTATGGCCATAAAAATCATCAGTGATAATTTTGAGACTGATTGTATTCAATCATGACACATTAGCATTTGCATTTCAGTCTGATTGCTTTTGTTTTTATGGTTCACTCAGATCAGTTCTTCCACCCACCTGTAGCTGATGGCTGATAGATTATTGGTAGGTTATTAACTGAAGTTCTGTGTGTAAATGTCCAGTATTATTTACTTGCCAGTTCCAAAAGTCAAATATCTGAAGATGATATTTGCTCAGGAGAAACAGATGGATATTTTCTGAGCTCCATAGAGTGAGTAATCTCAAGGAAATAATTTATTTAAATATGCAAAACAAAGGGACTGGCAGGTTTCCAGGGTATTGTTGTTCCCATCTTTTCTGAATTATTCACTCTGATGGTATAGAAAACGCAAAGAAATTGTGGTTGTTCTTAATTTCGGGATATGTTTCAATTTTCTCCAAATAATTATAATAAAGAGTCATGGTTAATAAATTAGAATATGCATTCCAGTGAAGATTATTTCTCTTTTCTGTTCTAAAAGGACATTTTTAAAAGACAAAAACATTTCTGTGTTAGAATGATAACATTTCATCTTACATGTTAAAAAAATCATAAACAATATATATATATATATATATATATATATATATATATATATATATATATATATATATATATATATATATATATATATATATATATATATTTACTCACTCCTATGTTTTCTTAATCTGTATAAAGTGCCTCACTCAGTGAATTGAGTTACTAAAAGAGATTGATATTTCAATGATCTGATTTATTCAAAAGATTTTTAAATCTGTCATGTTACAGAATTGCAAATTACAAGGAATTGCTAATTTCTCCCTTTGAGAAAACCTTAGCTGTAAAAGAGTTAAATTTTCCTTTCACCATCAACTTGTTTGGAACTTGTTTGGACAGGACCATCAAGTTCCACTGTTAAAACTTTGCCTCTACGCAAATCAGTGTTGTTCTTCAAGCTATAAGTCCGGAAAAATGCAAATTTTATTACAATTGTTTTGCAAGAGGAGCAGAAGGTGAACAAAGTAACTAGGAAGTATCACAAAGCCACAAAGAGGAGAGTCAACAGCTTCTCTATGTGGAATGCTACTATTATATGTTATATTAGATTTAAATAGATTGAAAGGATATAATTATAATAAAACAAACTTTATTTTTAAGATTCGGCAAAGGTCCCAGCTTTACGGTCTAAAACTTTCAAGAAATAGAAAATAAGGATTATTTAATTTCAGTGTTGTTCTTTTCAAATTCTCACTGCTGTCCACAAGGTGGCGGCAATGCGCCAACAGATAAGTAAACGGTTGAAGAAGAAGGGGCGTCTCCATCAGGAAGCTGAAGGTAAATACTTGTAATAATCGATCCTTGATTTTCTTTTGATTGAATATGACGCCTCGTTTAACGTCCTTCGTTTCTTTTTCTTTTATTCAAGTCTTTAAAATGACTGTTTGTTTTTGGTTTTTCTGCTTAATCGCAAGAATCGGATCATCTTTAGTCAACGTTACTTAAACACTTCGCTCCACTGTCCCTTTGCTTCAGATCTGTCCGTGGAGATGAAGCAGGAGTACCAGGACCTCATCCTGCAGACATGCGGGGCCTCATCGCTGCGTGTCGGCGCTCAGATCCAGACGCTGTGGAGCGGCTACGGGGAGATAGTGCGGCTGCACCTGGAGGGCTGTGGGCGGCCCTCTGTGGTGGTCAAACACATCAAGTTTCCGGAAGAGGCAGATCACCCGGGCGGCTGGAACACGGATCGCTCCCACGTCCGTAAAGTCAGGTCCTACCAGGTGGAGACCCACTGGTACCAGAACTACTCCACCAATCAGAGCTGCCGCATCCCCGTCTGCCTTGCCGCCCGCTCCTATGGCGACGAGATGCTGATAGTTCTGGAAGATCTGGATGTGGAGGGTTATGACCAAAGAAGGTATGACCACAAACAGTCCAAATTAAAGCAGTTGGTAGGTGTGAGTGTCTCTGACACGGCGTAACCTAACCAGAAGTGTTATAAACCATCAACCACAAATACAAAATAGTCTTACTAACTACAAGTACAAAATGTTGGTTTCTTTCTATTTATATTTATTTAGCAAATCTATTATTTGTATTAAGGCTAAAGCACGTGTTTATTTTAGTTGAACCGATTATTGCAGCAATGTCTTCATCGGTCAGAGCGCTGCTGCTTATCTTCTCACTTAAGCTAGGAAATATTGAACTTCAACCCAGTTCTGAGCTCATTAAAGCTAAAAAATACACTCTAAAAATACTTTAGTGGGTATATTAACCACTGGATGGCTTAAACCCAAAATACTTTAAAGATTTGATGTTGTTGTATCAACCTTCCAGACTACTGGTTCTACTCTCCATCCCTGGAATCAGAACCAAACTTGGAAAAGAAGCATTCACTTGTTATACTCATCTAATCTGAAATAAAGTTCCAGAAAACTGCAATGCAGCTGAAACGCTGAGTTCCTGTAAATGAAGGATAGAAGCCCATTTTGCTTCTCTTGGCCTGCTGTGGGTTAATATTGCTTAAAAAAAAACATCTGCTGGAAAAGTATTTTTGTTATGTGCAATGTATGCAAAAAGGAGTAGGCCTATCACTGAACCTATTAAATATTTTAATAAAATCTCAATGCAAAACATTTAGAAGCTGCACAGATGTCCCCTAAGCTAATGTCAGTGTTCTCATTTTGAAGCTGAATGCCTATAATAGCTCTTTGCACCGATCTGACCAAGTAATCTAATTTTAATTAACAGCAACAAATATGTTTGTTCTTGAGCTCATGTATATTTATTCTATATATAATTTAGCTGCAAAAAGGTTTTTTGAACTTTCAAACCAGTTCTCAAAGTGGTAGTAACAAATTGCAGGTGAAATGTGATTTTTAATTATGAATATTTATGTTTTCATTTACAGAACCAGCATTAAGGACAAAGAGATAAGGGCCTGCCTGAGCTGGCTCGCCCACTTCCATGCTCTCTTCCTGGGTGTGGCCCCAGAGGGTCTGTGGCCAGTTGGCACCTACTGGCACCTGGAGACCCGGCCGGATGAGCTGGAAGCCATGGATGACGCTGAACTCAAAGCAGCAGCGGGCGACATTGACAGGGTCCTCAACGAGTGTCACTTTAAAACCATCGTTCATGGAGATGCCAAGCTGGCCAACTTCTGCTTCTCAAAGAGCGGACTCGAAGTGGCTGCCGTAGACTTTCAGTACGTCGGCGGTGGCTGTGGGATGAAAGATGTTGTGTATTTTCTTGGTAGCTGCATAGATGAGAGGGAATGCGGCAAACGGGTACCGGGATTGTTGGACCACTATTTCACAGAACTGAAGGCCTTTGTGAATAAAGACGTAAACTTTAATGCTCTTGAGAAGGAGTGGAGAGAGATGTTTGCATTCGCATGGACGGATTTCCATCGTTTTCTCCTCGGATGGATGCCGGGACACTGGAAGATCAACCAGTATAGTAAGGAGCTGACCCGGGAGGTTCTGCGCAAACTGAAGCAGTAATCAGAACTACAGATCATTTGGTGCAACTGTAATGTAAACATGAAGATCTGACTATGAGAATTCTTATTGAAAAGAGCTACCCAAACAAGCCACCTCATGCACTTTACTTTGCTGTGCACTATCTAACATTCTGTTTGGTCAGCTGTGGATAATAAAGAGTTTCAAAAACCAATCAGCATCAAAAATAGCCTTTACACATTTTTAAAAAGTTTTGTGATCCTTGTATGTTTAAAAAGTCTAATCAAACATCAATTGTTTCACTCTTTTGACTCTTGGACTTTTTTAGCAACAAATATTCAAATTCTACTAATTTCTTTTTGCCAGGGCAAATCAAATATGAATATCTGATTGTGTTTGAGAAGTCGTTGTCAGAGCACTGACAAAAATAAAAACTGATTTAATCTCACTGAGAAACATAAAAACAGGAGCACTGCAAGTTTTCCTCAGGCTGTGTTGTGCCCTCTCTGATAGAAGCACAACACAGCCAAAGTGTACAAATCAAGTCCTTCATTTTATCTTTTAATTAAAGTTTTTTCAGTCCAGTTCATCTTTAAAATGAGCAGCTGAAATAAATCACTCAGAGGCCTGTTCATGTCAGTTATGAATCCATATAGACTCCGGACCAGAACTGTGTTTAGCAGAGCCTGCTCTGCCTTTGTTTATTTCTTTATGTGGGCCATGAGAGAACATCACAAATCAACACTTACTTCCACCTGGAGGCCAAAAGGTGTCTGCTGCAAATCATGGATGATCAGGACCTCAAACAGACAATCATTGGTGTTGGCCTCATATGTAACGAAGGTTCCTTCTTACCATGTAATATAAATTGTGATGCGTAATATAACAATTTGAAACACTAATAACGTGAACCTTATCAGTATTATTTGCAAATCAAGCTTTTAAAGATGAGTTTTTCGCACCATCCACATCTGACTGGAGGAACACGGCTAAGTGGCCACAGTAAAACAAAACTATCATTCTATGCAATGTCATTCTTTGTACTTTCAAAAGTCACTCAAGTTGAATTTAAAAGTCCATGAATTTTATAGCTCCAACATCCTTCCTCAAAGTTCTGTTTTCCTCTATGAGTCTCTTTATTTCCATCTGCATTGCAGTGATGGATTCAGAGGTGAGATCAGTCTGAACGTTAACTGATTTTCTGTGTTCAGTATTTTCCTCATTGTCTTCATGAGCAGCATCGCTTAGATCAAGCAATGCTGAAGCAGCAACTTGCTCTAAAATTTTTTCTCTGCTATAACTCTTCCTTCTGCGTTGTGTGCCTCCAGTGGGCGTCGTTGCCTCATCCATCCCATCACAACCCAGATTTATAGAAGGCGCCCAGTCTGGGTTGGCGTCATCATACAGAGCAGAAGGTCGGCCTAAGAGAAAACAAAATTCAGCACAATATGATTTACTTTAAAATTACACAAAATTTCAAAAATACTTTATTTATCCCAAAGGGAAAATGACAATTGTCGTAACTCATGTCATTCAAATATTGTTAGAGTCGTTGTGGAAGGTGATGGTGAGGGCAGGAAAGATCTCCAGTAGCAGTCCACCTTGCAACAAATCTGAAAAGACCTCTGACTGAAGACTGTTGCTGCATGCCAGCCTTATGACCATCATGACAGGCTCAATTTCCAGGCAGTAACAACAACATTCCACTCCACTGTGGAATGTCGTCCACTTTAACATTTCCTGGAAGATGCCATCAGTAGTTGCCAAGCACTGCTAATCCACCTCATTTGCTATTGCTGCTCATCATTAAATCTCAAGTGTAAAATTTGAACAGGCAAAAGTCCTAGCAGACAATGTCTTATATATTTAGCTTACTTTTATCTACACTTTTAATAATGTGTAACAAATACCTCAGAAATTGCCATGCTGACATTTTATAAAATTTTATTAAATCTAAATGTTAACATAAATATTAAATCTAAATGGTTAATCTCTATCTTAACAATAAATGTCAAATCGAAAAAAAAAAATATACCTATATATAAGGTCTAAATGTAAATCTCTGATATTATTGATGAATGTTAATTTGCCTAAACCTTTTTCGCCTTAAAAAAAAGCTTGCGATTTGTTTCAAATTTATTTAAAAATAAATAAATAAAAAATACATAGTAATAATGCAAGTATAAAACAGAAAATATTGGCCATACCAATCGTTGCTTATTTATTGCTGCCTCTAAGCAAAACTATTTAGAAAAGGTCAAAGGTTTTATTTGGCAAGTTTTGAAAAAAAGTTGGTGACATTTAGAGACAAAAATATGTATGCACCTTGCAGAGGAAATAAACTGTTTGATTCGACAGTTACCTTTTGTTGCCCTGACAACAGTAAATTACATTCTCACTTTATAACCCACCTTGTTCCATGCTGGAACTACAACAGTAACACTGACTAACCTGACACGAAGTGATCCGAGCAGACGCGGATGTAAGGCAGCGTTGAATCCCGCAGATTATCCCTCGCTATTCTTGACAGCCACAAACATCGCCTCCGCCTGGAGAAGCTCTCCGTTTTCTCGCCCTGGTTCGTGATGACCGCCGGTAACCGGAAGAAGCTTTTCACGTCCCTCTGACCTCGGTTTCCACAGCCGACTATAGCGCAGACACTCGGCATTGTGCATCCATGAAGGAACACGCGTCGCAGTTTATTTGTCGCTTCAGACCTGCGTGTCCTCCAACATGGCCAGCCAGGAAGCTCCTTGACGTCATAATCAGCTGTTATGAAGGTGGTGGTCACGTGGGTTCCGCCCCCTTAGTCGACATTATAACAACAAGGCAGGCGAGCCGAGACGAGCAGGGGTGAGGAGACGACGCTGTTAAAGGAGGAAACAGGTACAGAAATGTATTTGTTGAGTATATGTATAAAAGACAGACGGATAAATATGTTATCAGTGAAGTAACGACGTGATACGTGGCTAGTTAAACTAGCTAACAAGCTAGCAAGCTAACCGTAGCTTCATGAATAGGGTTTAAATAAAAACTTCCTTTAAAACTATTCAGTTTGTCTTTTAAAAAGCGAATTTGAAAATGTCTAATTGTGTAGGTCGCTGTTATTACGTGTGACTCCACAAGGCTTCTGCCTCTGAGGGAAGATTTAAATGCCAGTGAACATGGCAGTAGTGTCAACAGAAACCCTGAAACTGCGCCTCAGTGACATTTAGTTTCTGTTTTGACCTTTGTTTTGTGTATTTCTGCAAGTAAAGAATTAGGTTGTATGGAGTATATATGTGTAAACTATAAACCTGTTGTGTGTTTTCTACTCTGTTACATTGAATATTATTATTATTATTTTTCATTTCAGTCATAAAACAGTAAAATCTCTATTTTAGTGTCTCCAGTATTTTATTGTTGAAAAAGGGGTTTTGATGGTCAAGTAACTGTTAAGATTTAGCTATTGTTCAAAGTCTTACATGTATCATTTAAAAGTAAATTCCTTTTTCTGCACTTCCCTTTCTAAAACTAAACAAACAGCTAAGAAAGACTTTAGGGAAAAATGACTATACTGTTTTTTATAGGCTTTTTTCAATAAGAATGATGTCCTAGAGCTTACCAAACAAATTCTGTTCATTCACTTACATCTCATTCAAAATGTGCAGTCAGTAAATAGAGCACATTAAATATATTTTATCAATTTATTTTACTTATTTTTTAAAATCCTTTTTAATTCAATTAACTTTTTTTAAATCCAAAATGGAAATTACATGTATCATTAAGACTAATATCATCCAGGTATGATGGTGATGCATGAAAGATCTCCAGTAGCAGTCAGTCTTGCAGCGAACCTAAAGGGACCTCTGACTGAAGACTGCTGCTAACAGCTTGATTTCTGGGCAGCAGAGACAATATCCCACAATAACATACTGTAGATGTCACCATCAGTTGTTGATAAGTTTTGCTAATCCACCTCATTTGTTTTTGTTGCTTTTCCTTAAATCTCTGTCTGGCCGTACAGCTAGAAAGGCAGACACAGAGATGTTGAAGTTGTGTAGTTTGAATTCATTTTGAGAATCTGCATTTCTCCAATTTTTCTTGCGTTTTTGTTTGTCTAAATTTTATTTTTAAGATGAAACCACAGTTATTACTCAAAAATATAAAGTATCCCACAGATGTTATCCTTGTCAGACCAAATAAAGATTGCAACAAATAAGACTTCTTGACTGGAACAAGGTTTTCAGGGTGAACAATATAGTTATGTGACATTCATTTTTACTTTAGTTCATAATTGCATCACAAAAAGTATGTACTCATAAATGAAATTTTAGGATCGCCTTCACCAGAAGATTGTCTTAAAGCCTCAAACTGCTATGAGTTAAACAGAGAAATTGGTTTCTGGTTAGCTCAGTCTTGTGATCAGCCACATAAAGATGGTTACTTCTTTTTTTGTTTTGTTTTTTGGAAAATAGCCAACAGTTTGCACATACAGATCGGTTTTCCTTTTGTTTGGTTGTTTGGAAGTGAGTCTGTGCTAGATTCCCGGAATATGCTTTGAAATCCAAACCAGTCTGCTAGTATAATTGAATCAACACACCACTTTACTCAAAACATCAATTTGATGGGGCATTTTTGTCAGAAATAAGGTTGTAATAAAAGTTCATCTTTCCAGTTTCATCCAGGCTCATTGAACTGCTGTTAGTTAACTAGCTACAAATACATGTTTCCGATTATTTCTGGTTAATTTCAGATGGGTTTGTCCTTAGAGTTTTTGCTACATTAGCTTCAGTTCATATCATAAGAGGAGTGGCAGCATTTTCATCAAGTATGTTCATGTTTTAGCATAAAGAACTGACCTCACTTTAGTAAACAATTCAAAAGTAGACACTCTTATTTAGTTAGTAAAAAACTATCTAACCTGTTTAGATAGCAGCTCACAGAGCTTGTTTTGCTTTCAGTTGCTGGTACAGCAGCCAAACATGCATGTTAGTAATAGAAAATTACATTCCTCAAGGCATCTGAAGGTCAACTGATTTTATGAAAAGATATTTTTCTGAGACGAGTTTGTCTTTGGTTTTCTGTTTTGCTTCATGACAAAAAATGGAATCTCATATATTTCCTTATAAAGTTAATGCATGTAAGGATTTAAATCACAAGTTTACAATTCTGTCAACATATTTGATTGTTCTACAAATAATCATCATGCTTATAGTCTCTAGTTTTATCTAC